AATGGGGAAAAAATAAGAACCAAGATGGATTATGTAAAGGTGCAAATTTCCAATGATGAATGTCATTATATTGTAGACCATAAATGTACCAATAGAATTAATTTAAAAAATGTTTCAAGCAAAGAGAACACTGTACAAAGGTTTGGAAGTGAGAACAAAGCATCGACTGTTAGGGAAACTGAAAAATAGGTCAAGTGTCCTAAAGGCTATTCAGAAGGGTAGTAAAGTATGAGAGTAAAGAGATAAGCAGTCTAAATTTCATTCTAAAGGCAGTGTAGCCACTGAAGGACTTTGAACAGGGGAGAACATGTAAACAGATTTGGATTTTGGGAAGGATCACTCTGGCTTGTCATTGTAATGCTTGGCTTCTCTTTTACTACCTCACACACCCAGATAGTTACTGAGTCACTCGATTCTTTCCCTTAAATACATCTTTCTATTTCTGTCTACCTCCACTTAGACTTCTCTGTTTCTTACTGTGTTTTTCTGTATTACCTTCTAAGTATTCTGTCTTCATTCTTGTTCTCCTCAGGTTCTCCTCACCACAGCCAGAATGTTACTTCTAAAATGCAAATGTGTATGCCGCTTCCCCACTTAAAACTCCACTTGTCAATCCATAGGCTTCAGGATGAAGTTAAAACATTTTAATATGACCTAGCTTCTACCAATTTTGGATACTCCAGCCTTGCCATGTGCTTGGTCTCTAAGAGGGATGATGCTTAAGTTTGTAGCTTGGCAGCTGGATGGTTAGTGTCATTCAGTCATACAGAGAACAAAAGAGAAAAGCAAAGATGATGAGTTCACCCCTTAATAATGAGAATCTACCAGGATATTGCCAGTTAAATGCAGTGATAGAGTCTGTAAAAGAACAGAGTAAATAGAAATGATTTCTCTTTGAAACCAGCAGAGATTTAAGAAGGTATGGGGTAGATGGTACCTGGTGCCCAGCAAATGTTTGTTGGGTGACAAGAGATAAAAGAGATCAAAAAGGATCATTGACATTGAAAATTATTATTTAAAAAAATCTTTTATTTTTCAGAAATATTAATGTTTCAAATTACAAATTCAGGTATTCTGAATTATTTGTTCATATTGAATGTTTTCTAATGAGTTCAGGAAAATTATTTCAAACTTAAATTTTTTTATAGTGGAAATTATAATGGAAACTATTACATTCTTTCATGTCTGAATAATTTATTGTCTTTAAACAATATTTATTTTACTTTTCATTTCAGGAGAATTAAAATCTGAAGCAGTTATTGCTGATATCCTAGATAAAGGATCTGGCTTAGTAATTATTTTGGATGGTAACTTATTTACATTTCCTTTAATGATGTTGTTAGATTGATAGGCATTGTATGAAACATAATATTTTTTTAAAATTTATTTTTTATTAGTATATTTTTGCAGTACATAATTATGCAATGTGTGTATGTACCAGTTTCCCAAGATTAATGTAGTTATTTTGTAACATAATATTTCACTACAGAAGTTGACTAATATGTTTGCATTTATTTTCCATTATGTAAGAAAGCAAGATAAGCATTTAAAACTTTTAGAAGTTCTTTTAAGAAAAACAAGGAAGGAGGGGAGGGGGAAAACAAGGTAGGCTACAGATAGGGCCTGGGTGGGTGGAGCATTTCAGTGAATTTAAAACATTACCAAAGCACGGAGGTGAGAAATATGGCTTGTATGCAGATTATACATGAGAATTATGCTTGCTGAAGTATATTTTGGCAGGAGAAAAATTAGCCTTCTATTGATAGTTAGTCTTTGTTGTGATATTCTTTTCTATGTTAGCTATTTGGAACTTGGAACATATTTAACCATGGGATCATTCTTCTAAATCATAGTTAGGTTTCTAGATTTGTACATTTAAACCTGTTGATAATGTGGTTTAATAACTCATAATACGGTTATTTATACCATAACCACATTTTACCTACAGTGGGAAAAAAGATTATAGTAATTTAATTATTTAATTATTATTACTGAAATACTAGTAATTAAGCATAAGCTAAAGACACATTGCTTAAATTTTAAAGTTTAAGAAGAAAAATTTATTGTGAAAAATTTGGAAGAATGCTGGAAAATTTAATATTGCTTGATGTTTGGAATGTACACCTTACAATTTTTATATAGTAAATACAAGGGATGCTTCTTACCTTACCACAGCGGTTATGTCCTGATAAACCTATTGTAAACTGAATCTCACCTACTCCAGAGGCTGAAGCAAAAGGGTCACAAGTTTAAGGTCAGCCTGAGCAGTGTAGTGCCAAGGCCTTATCTCAAAAAACAATTTAGAAAGGGCTGGGAGTAGTCAGTCCAGTGCTCCCTGGGCTTAATTACCAGTACTATTAAAACAAAACCAAAAAGCATTTAATGCACCTAATACCAAACATCATAGCTTGGCAACACAAAACAATGTACAGTATTGGTTGTTTACCTTCAGGATTGCATGACTGACTGAGAGCTTCAGAATCCTACCACTGCCCAGCATTGTAAGAAATTGTCACATTGAGTATTACTAGCCTGGGGGCGAGGGGATCAAAGTTCAAAATTTAAAGTATAATTTCCCCTGAATACTCAAGTACAGCATTCACGCCATTGTAAAATTGAAAAATTGTAAGTTGAACCATTGAAAGTCAGGAACTATCCATACTGAATATGCTGTTTTGGAACTTGGCTTTCTGTTTACTTAGTAAACATATTGAAAAATATGTTTTGGGCTGTGGATTTAGCTCAGTGGTTCCGCTGCCTGCCTTGCAAGCACAAAGTCCCAAGTTCAATCCCCAGTACCCCCCCCCCCAAATATATATGTTTTGATGTTCAAATACTGTGTATGTTTGGACTCCTTCTTCTGTTTTCTTCCTTCTCCTTTTTCCTCTCCTTTTTCCTTCTTCCTCTTTCTCTTTTATTTTGAGGTTTTAAAACTTCTCATTCTAGATGTTGGCCAACATTTGGCTAAAATTTTTGCAATTATCTGTTAGTCTTCTTTTTTTTTTTACCGGGGATTGAACTCTGGGACCTTGCACTTGTGAGGCAGGCGGCAGAACCACTGAGCTAAATAAATCCTTGGCCCCTGTTAGTCTTCTTGTTAAATGTAACATACCACAAAACAAGAGTCATGTAGTACCCTTGCTTAATCTTTACTGTTGACCCTTAAATCTATCCCATTTATCCAACTACATATTGACAGTGAGTCACAGTGTACTAGAAATTGTAAATACAGCTTAGATGAAATAAATTACCCCAATTTCATGTGTAATAAAGGTAAAAATATTGTTTTAAATGCAGATTGCCATAACTTATTTTTGTTGTAATTAGTTTTTGTCTTTGGTATGCAATTCAGTCATATTCCAAATTTTTAAGAACTAGGTTGACATTAAATTAGTAAATAGAGGATCAGCTATCTTAGTTTTTTTGTTAGCCATTTTTTATTTGCTAACTTGCTTACTCATGTAATTTATTTACTGCCTTATTATTTAATTATTATGCTTCAATTTTATACCAAGACACTATTCTAATTTCTGGTAATATAATGGTGAACAGCATAGCCAAGACCCTGCCTCCATTTGGCTTATACCTTTATTTTTACTTTAACTGTTTACATTTCATGTCCTGAATTCTTTGACAGGATATTTGAAAGTTTGAGTGTGTTTATTTGCATTTGCTATTGAAATTGTTTGAAATGTTTGTGATAGAAAAAATTGAATTATGAATGGCAGTTTGGGGAGATTTAAAAGAAGTGCAAAAAACTGCTTTTTCCTAGTGAAGGAAGGATTTGTGGAGTGTTTCTTCTCTCTGCCTTTCAGTGTCCAGTGGTGAATATATTCAAATGAGTGCTCTGTAATACAAACATGGTTGTTGGTGTAGAACCCTTTCAGGAACTAGAATTTGTTTTTGAAACTTTTAAAGAAATTGTTGACCATATATTAACTGGTTATATGTTTTGTTCATAACTCTTTTTATTTACTTTATAGTCCATTCTTATTCTGGGAAGGAACTTATATGCTATAGTCAGTATTCTCTGTTTCTTGTTGGCTCTGGAGGCTTTGGTGGAAAACGGACATCTGAAAAAGTCAAGGTAAGGCATGGCTTTTTAAAAAAAATTGAAACATAATATTTGTACTACTCTAAGGGATATGTCATAGTAATTCAGTACATGTATACAGCGTATAATAATCGAATCAGAATAGGAAGCATTTCTGTCTCTTCAAACAATCGTTTTTATGGGAATTTCATATTTTTCATTTTTAATTATTTTGAAGCACAGATTACTTTAACCTATAGATACTCTACTGTGCTTAAGAAGACCAGAAATAATTCTTCCACTTTGTGTCTTGGAGTCTCTTAATGAAATTTCTGTCCTCCTTTCTCACTCCCTTTCCAATCTTTAGTAACTACTTTTTTACATTGTTCTTCTACAGGTTTGAATTATTAGTCTCCACAAATGATTTTTTAAAATGTGATATTTTTCTTTGTGTGTCTGGCTTATTTTACTTAACATAATGACCTCCAAATGACAGAATTTATTCCCCCCCACCACCAGGTATTGAACTCAGGACCTTGTGCCTGCCAGGCAGGCATGGTGCCACTGAGCTAAATTTCCAGCCCTAGGATTTAATTCTTTTTATGGCTGAGTAATCAGTCGTCCATCCATTTGTCTGTCTCTGGCTGCCTGCCTTCCTTCCTTCCTGCCTTCCTTCCTTTCTTTCTCTTTCTTTTTTTCTATCTATCGATCCATCCATCATCGATTACATTTTCTTTAGCCCATTCATCTATTGAAAGGCGTCTGGAGTGATTCCATATTTTAGCTATTGTGAATTGTGCTGCAGTAAACAGAAGAGTGCAGAATCTTTTTGGCATAGTGTTTTCATTCCCTTATGATATATACCCAGTAGTGGAAATGCAGGATTCACATGGTAGTACCATTTATAGTTTTTGGGGAATCTCCATACTGTTTTCCATAATTTCTGTACAATATACATTCCTATCAACAGTATATAAGACTTCTCCCCTTCTCCATATCCTTGCCAGTATTTGTTGTTGTCTGTTTGATGATAGCCATTTTAATGGGGTGACATAATATCTTGTAGCTTTGATTTCCATTTCTCTGATGATTAGTGATATTGAGCATTTTTTCATGTACTTGTTGGCCATTTGTTTGTCTTTCACAGTTGCCTGTTTAGTTCTTTAGCTAATTTTAAAATTAGATTATTTGTGGGGTTTTTTTTTTTTTTTGAATGTTCAGCCTTTGAGTTCCTTTTATATTCTGGATATCAGTCTTTCATCAGATGAATACTTTGGAAATCTTTTCTTCCAATGTGTAATTTTTAAATTATGTTGATTTTCTTTGCTCTGAATAAGCTTTTTTGTTTGATAAAACCCTATTTGCTTATTTTTACTTTTGATGCCTGTACCTTGAGGAGCCTGTCTAAAAAAATCAATGTCTACACCGGTGTCTGGAAGTTTTCCCCTTGTGTTTACTTGTAATTTCATAGTTTCAGGTTTAACATTTAGGTCCTTGATTCATTTTGAGTTGATTTTTGTGTATGCTGAGATGAAGAGGTCTAGCATCACTCTTCTACATATATATGTCCAGTTTATTGTCGCAGCACCATTTTTTGAAGAGAGTATCCTTTCTCCACTGTGCCTTTGTCAAAAATTGTTTGGTAGTATTGAGTGTGGATTAATTTCTGGGTTCTTTATTCTGTGCTCTTGGTCTATGTGTCCATTTTTGTATCAATAATATTCTGTTTTTGTTACTGTAGCTTTTTAGAATGTTTTGAAGTCAAGTATTTTGTACCTCTAGCATTATAATTTTTGCTCAGGATCACTGTGGCTGTTATGTGTTTTTTGTGGTTCTGTATGATTTTAGGATTGTTTTTTCTGTTTTTCTGAAGAAAGTCAGTACTTTGATGGAAATTGATTTGAATCTATAGAGTCTTCTGGGTATAGTCATTTTAACAGTATTCTTTTGATTCATGAACATGGAATATCTTTCTATTTTGTGTACTCTATAATTTCTTTCATTAATGTTTTATAATTTTCATTGTGAAATTTTTCACTTTATTAATTTATTCTTGTTTCTTTTTTCCCTATATATTGTAAATGTGATTGGTTTCTTATTTTTCAGAAAGTTGATTATTCATGTACTTATTTTTTCTGTATGTTAATTTTATATCTTATAACTTTACTGAATTTGTTTATATATTCCAACAGCCTTTTGATAGACTATTTAGGGTTTTCTATGTATAAAATTATATCATCTGCAAATATGGTTAATTAATTTGGTCTTTTAGAACTTGGATGCCCTTTATTTCTTTCTCTTGCCTATTGCTCTAAGACTTCCAGTATTACATTAAATAGGAGTTATAAAAGTAGACATCTTTGTCTTATTCTTGATCTTAGAGGAAATGAATTCAACTTTACCCCATTCTGTATTATATTGAGTGTGGGATTTTCATATATAGCCTTTAGTATTTTGAGATATGTTTCTTCTAAACTCAATTTTTAAGGCTTTTATTTATTATGAAAGGACACTGAATCTTATCAAATGCGTTTTTTGCAGCTTTAGATGTGATCATACAGTTTTTGTTTACCCTTCATTCTGTTGATGTGTGTGTTATATCATGTTTTTGATTTTCGTATGTAGAACTATCCTTGCGTATCCTTAGGATGAATCTTATTGATCATAGTGTAGAGACTTTTTGATGTTCTGTTGAATTTGGTTTGCTAGTATTTTACTGATAAATTTTACATGTATTTTTATCAGGATTCTGGTTCAGTATTTTTTGTTGTTGTTGTTGTATTTTTGTCTGGTTTGGGTGTCAAGATAATGTTAACCTAGTAAAGAACACTTGGAAAAGAACTGAATTAATTCTTTAAATGTTTTGTAGGCTTTATTAGTAGAGCCATCAGAACTTTTCTCAATGGGAGATTTTAAATTATTGCTCCAATCTTATTATTGGTCTGTTTAGATTTTCCATTTTTTCTTGATTCAGTTTTGGTAGGTTGTATGTGTTCAGGAATTTATCCATTTTTTATAGGTTATCCAATATTTCTAGCATATAATGGTGTATAGTTTCTTTCGATCCTTTGCATTTCTGAGGTATTATAAGGTATCATTTTCATCTCAAAATTTATTTCATTTAGGTATTCCTTTTTTTCTGGGTTAACCTAGCTACAAAATTTATTAATTTATCTCTAAAAAGCTTAGTTCTTTATTTTATTGATCTTTTTTGAATTTTACTTATTTCTGCTGTAATCTTTATTATTTCTTTTACTGATTTTAGGTTTACTTTGTTACTGCTTTTCTAAGTCCTTAACTGCCCTTTCACTACTGTTCTCATTCACAGAGATTTTGATATGTTTTGTTGCTATTGTCTTTCATTTCTAGAAATTTTTTTACTTCTTTTTTAAATTCTTTACCCATTGGTCATTGAGGAGCATGTTGCTCATCTTAAATGTGTTTGTATACTTTTCTGCTCTTCTTGTTGTTTTGTAGTTTTAGTATTCCATTGTTGAGGGTGAAGATAAGTGGTATGGTATCAACTTTTAAAAACTTTTTTCAGATTTGATTTGTGGTCTGTCTTGAAGAATGTTCCGTGTGCTGATCAGAATATCTAGTCTGATGTTGTTAGATAACGTGTTCTGTAAATATCTATTAGATTCATATGCTCTATACTTTGGTTTAACTTAGATGTTTCTTCCTGATTTTCTATCTGAATAGTCTGTCCATTGAGTTCAGTGAAGTGTTGAAGTCCCCAGCTGACACTATTGTTTTTTTTGGTACCGGGGATCGAACTCGTGACCTTGTGCTTATGAGGCAGGCAGCAGAACCGCTGAGCTACATCCCCAGCCCTCCAGCTATCATTTTATTGGAGTGTCTTTCCCTTAAGATCTGGTAATATTTGCTTTACATTTATATTTGGGTGGTTCCATATGGATGTATATTCATAATTGTCACATTTTGCTGAATGATCCTTTTATCAATATATAATAATCTTTTTCTGTTTTCACAGTTTTTGATTTAAAGTCTGCTTTATGTGATATGAATATACCTACTCTTGCTCATTTTTGGTTTCCATTTCCATGATATATCTTTTTCCACTTTTACTCTTTTAGTCTTTACTAGTGAAGTGAATTTCTTATAGGCAGCGTATAATTGGATCCTATTTTCTCATCCATTCAGGCAATCTGTCTTTTGATTGGTAAATTTAATCCATTTACATTCAGGGTTACTGATAGTCCACATGTTGTTTTGTTATTTGTACTCTATTTGTTGGTTTTTTGTTGTTGTTGTTTGTTTCTACTTTTCTCTTTTTTTTTTTGGTACCAGGGATAGAACTCGGATGCAGCAGGCGGCGAAATCACTGAGCTAAAATCCCAGGCCCTCTACTTTTCTTGTTATGTATTTTTTGTGATTTGGTTGTTTTCTATCATGCTAAGGTTTGATTCTCTTTTTTATGTATCTGTTCTTCTA